GGTCAAAAGACGTTGTTACACGGCCGTTTAGTGTATTTTCATTGGTCAAAAGACGTTGTTACACGGCCGTTTAGTGTGTTTTCATTGGTCAAAAGATGATTTTACACGGCCGTTTAGTGTGTTTTCATTGGTCAAAAGATGATGTTACACGGCCGTTTAGTGTGTTTTCATTGGTCAAAAGATGATTTTACACGGCCGTTTAGTGTGTTTTCATTGGTCAAAAGACGTTGTTACACTGCCGTTTAGTATGTTTTCATTGATAAGATAAACTGTATTGAAAAGTTTTACTCGTATAGGGTTACAGTGATGTTAAGTTGTTCAGTGAAGATCAAATCTTAGGCCTTGAAACTAGCAACTAGTGTTTATGTATTCTGTTAGTAAGTTATACTCTATTCTTTCTTTAACATTACTTTCACGAACAATGATGGTTATAATGTTTCATATATTTATTATCACCATTTATCATACAGATTATTTTGCATTGTTAGTTTAATATGTGAACTTCCGAATAATTTAAATTGCCTAACATGGCCGAACCTCTCGAGATATAATTGGGTTTACGGCCGAAAATATCACCCCAGCTTATTTGAGTGTATACACGACGTAAAGTGACAAATGTGAAACTTTGCTATTATTTTATGGATTGCTCCAGATTACAGATAGTATACACATTATGCAAGATCAAGCAGCCTTTTAAAAGTAATCAACATTCAATTCTCACTATACCGGTTCATTAAATCATCAAATGATACTCCTTTGAACAACCAGATCAGTTTATGTTTTAATCGGACCAGTTATGACCTCTAGAGGTACAACTGTTGTGCAGGCTCAATCATTTAGACCACTCCTGCTAAGCAAATATCACCAATATTTGAAGTAGGTTTTCTTGTGAACAACTGGTGCCTTGTGTTTATTGGGGCCAATGTTTCAGGCTATAGACCTTAAGAATGCTCGTGTAATGTCAACCAGACTGGTTAAAGCTAGATTCAAGTAACAAACATCATGAATAAATCGTCGGTACTTTAAACATGCTTAGTGTAACTGTTGGTACCTTAGACACGATTAGTGTAACTGTTGGTACCTTAAACACGATTATTGTAACTGTCGGTACTTTAAACACGCTTAGTGTAACTGTAGGTACCTTAGACACGATTAGTGTAACTGCTGGTACCTTAAACACGATTATTGTAACTGTCGGTACTTTAAACACGCTTAGTGTAACTGTAGGTACCTTAGACACGATTAGTGTAACTGTCAGTACTTTAAACATGTTTAGTGTAACTGTTGGTACCTTAGACACAATAATTGTAACTGTTGGTACCTTAGATCCGATTATTGTAATTGTCACTACTTTCAACATGCTTAGTGTAACTGTTGGTACCTTAGACACGATTATTGTAACCGTCGATTCTTGGGTTAAAAATTCTAGTTGAAGAGCAACACTCTTCAACGACTTTTGGGTTAATCCAAAATATAAGATTGATTTTACACAGGATGACACTCTTCAATAATTTTTGGATTATAAATTCCTGTAAATCTAACCAAACTTAGACATTCTAAATGCCTTTAAGTTAATGTCATTTGACTCGATCACTACTCACTTTTACAAACTTGTAGACCTAGTCAAGCACTTATATTTCTTGTGCTTGTAACACCAACACTGTAAGCGTGTTTAAAGTATTGATAATTTCAACAATCGTGTCTAAGGTACCTACAGTTATAATAAGCGTGTTGAAAGTAGTGACAGTTACAAAAATCGTGTCTAAGGTACCAACAGTTACACAAAGCATGTTTAAAGTATTATTTAAATGTCCCTCTTGAACTAGAATTTTTAACCCAAGAATCATTTAAATGTCGCTCTTGAACTAGAATGTTTAACCCAAGAATCGTTGCAGAGTGTCCCTCTTGAACTAGAATGTTTAACCCAAGAATCGTTGCAGAGTGTCCCTCTTGAACTAGAATGTTTAACCCAAGAATCGTTGCAAGAGTGTTGCTCTTCAACTAGAATTTTAAACCCAAGAATCGTTACAGAGTGTCGCTCTTTGCTGGATCTATCTTTGAAGTGCAAATTGAATTTATAGATATTTGTAGCCTAAGAAACATTCAAGGCTGTTGCCATGTGCTACATCCATCCTTGAGTTGTAAATCAGAGCTACAGAAATATTTAACCCAAGATGTGTTCAAACATGTCAGGTGTTACATTTATCCTTGAGTTGTAAGTCAGAGTTACATGAATATTTAACCCCAAAATTATTCAAGAGTGTCACCACATGCTTAATCTGTTCTCAAATTGAAAGTTGGTGTTACAAGAGTATGTAAACCCAAGAATCATTCATGAGTGTTGCCATGTGCTGCATATGTCCTTGAGTTGTAAGTTGAATTTAGATAAATTTTTACTCAAGATTTGTTCAAAAATGTCACTCTGTGCTTCATCTATCCTTGTGTTGTTCTTTTCTGAAGATATAGTGACAGAAATTGAAAACTCATGGAGTTATTCATCTACTTGGAGATGAGGGAGGAGCTATTGAGAGTACCTTTTGGTGAAAGAGTGCATCCATCTCAAGCAGAGAATATGCTTCAATTAGAAGTGGTAGTGCAGAAAGGTATTGTCAAAAAAGCCTCTGGCTTACTGCTTAAGCATCACAAAGGTGGGTGAAATGTAAAGACTTTTCAACAGGCCTGCATATCTCAGAAATCAGCAGCCCATGTACACATAATGTGGCTAAAACAATAAGTAAGCCATACAGTACATGAACAAAAAAAAAAAAAAAATACTTATGATATACTTATTAGCATAAGCATATTCAGGGATGAATCATTCCAGGTCTGCATCCTGGGTAGAATGTGAGACTCCTCCAGCAAGTCACAACGACCAGGAATGGCCTGGTTGTTAGTGTAGGGGGGTCACCTGCACTGCACTTCCAGGTAGATATCCATGCTCTACTTCTGATCAAGGTTTGTGTCCACTAAGTATCTTACCAATGGGATGACACTGACCCAAAGATGAACTCTTCGTATCAACCACTCTAGCAGCTTTGTACAGAACAGAGAAAGCAAGGGCTCTCCCATTTCACTCGAAAATAATGGGAGTAATTTGCATGGGGGAGAACATCAGAAAGGTGCACAGACCAAACCAGAATAATCTACAATCTGCATAAGGTTTCACACTGAGAGATTGTGCAATAAGTTACTGTGAATACTAATAGGAGAAGTTAGTCAGATGTAAAGGCAGAGAATCACCCCCCAATGCTGTATTTTTGTTGGAAAGTAGCAATATGGAAACTGAGCAAGTAAAGGATAAAAATGAAGAGATTGAGGACAAAAAAGAAACAAAATAAAGATCCCCAAGCTGGAAGAAAATATTCAAGGGATTGAGATTCAATAAAAGGAGAAGAATCTCGACCATAAGCCATAGAATAAGATTCTTCAAATATTAGATGACGTAGCAACTATGAGTTGACAGAAGGTTGAGACAAAACAGAAATCAGCATGTACACAAATATCATGTGAGTGGGAATAAGAAAAGATAGCCAGAAAAGAGAGGTTAATGCAAAACAGAAGCCCACATATCAGCAAAAACAAATGGTATAAGAGAAAGAACGTTATTTACCTGTGATATCAATGTGGTAAAAAATGAAAGTGGGGTTATCTGATCCTCATTGCAGAGAGAGAAAACTAAAAGCAAAAGAAAAGAAGATAATGGGAACAGATGGCTCAGGCAGTCACAGCAGAAGCAGGAGGTTGGGAATCCTGGATTTGAGATGAAGAAGGTAAAATGGAACCAACCAATTAGTGCAAAATGGTGGTAACATCGCTCATCATCAGTGTTCCTCCTATCACCATTGAAACAGTAGAAGATGGCTCATGTTAAAGAGTGTCTGGACCTTGAGAAGTGTCAGAAATGTGGATATATAAATTCATAGTCAAGATGATCCACAAGAATAGTACCTCAAAAACCCAAACACTATACAGTAAATAGTTATTGTTAAGAAAATGAGGTTAAACAATGAAGGAAAATACCTCTAAATATAGTGATACTACATAGCAAAAAAAATTTACCCATTACTGTAATGATGTTATCCAGTAAAACTAAGTATGTTTAAATGTGGCAACATGGTTACTGTAACCGATTTCTACCTGTTTTTATAACAATAAAATACAAATCCCTTGACTGTATATATGCAACATTAAGTTAACTAAAATGCTTTTATAATGGCTGGAGATGGCTTGAATGGGTAATCAAGAAAAACTTTAATACAAGTTTAACATAACAGCAAATGTACAACGTTTCGACAAGGTTTTGTCATCATCAGGTACCAAATTCTTTTGGGTTAAGGTTTCCCTAATAACATACAAAACATGTAGCCATAAACATCATCAATATTACAATTAATCCAACTAATTAATGCTGGGATTTTCTATGTTTCATACATAATTTTTTTTTATCAGTTCTTTGCACAGTGTGCTGTGACAGGCAAAAACATAAATTTACTTACTATAATGTAATATATGGGCCTCATATGTAATGAACAATATACAGCAATTCGATGGTTAAATGCTTAATTTCTTTCTTAAAATATTGTGTAATATATAACTTTGCAATAGCTAACTATGTTATTAAAATGTTATATGCTAAAACTCTTTCCAGTTATCTTCAAATTGCTAAAATCAGGAAGATCTATTTTCAAAATTAAACGGTAAAAAAAATAACAATGATACTTTCCATAATATTTCCAGCTGCACAAATCACTAACAAATATTTTTGTAATGTGTAACAGCTATCACAGTAATATTTTATCTAATAATTTAATATCAGTCATTTTTTCTTTATGGTGAAAGCACATCAAGTAACCTGCCGTTTCTGGAATACCTTAGTTGAAATAGTGTAAGAAAGCTAACAAATCTGTCTTTAGTTAGTTTTACCACTGTGGAAAAAAATTACCAAGAGTTTCTTTCTTGGGACAAAATTTAGCTGAGCTACATTGTAACCTATCAAAATTAATACTCTTCATCTAGATAATGAAATATGATATATAATAAAAGTAAATCTTACCTTTATGTAAGTAATAGTATTGAGGTAAATCGTCATTCAGTAAAGGAACTTTAGTAGCCACATCAACTGCTTTTTCTTCTATTCCCAGCTGCCCATAGCTATTCCATCCCCAACACCATAAGTTTCCATCAGCTGACAAGACAAAGATTAGATCACAATCAAAATTAACTATCAGTCATTAATAATTATAGAAAACAACTTAAATGTGGCAATCATTGCCATGGTTAGTGGCCTATATATTCATCTAAGTCTAATTTATAATTAGTTATTGATTTTTATTATTATTTTAGTCACTATTTAACAATAAGATCCAGGTTTGGATCCCATTACCACCAAATACAATTCTTCTGAAGACCCTTATAATGGCAGATAAAATATAAGTAAAATGTGTATGATAAGGCATAGTAACTAATTAAACAGAGCAACTATGATGGCTTTAACAAGATTTGTTTTGTTTACATTCATTATAAAACATTCATCTTAATTTATCAGTTCATGAAAGTTCTATCTCTAAAATCTGCTAAAAAGTAAAATTAATTCAGCCTTACTTTGTTGGATGTTTAAAATTCATTCCAGCTCTTTTTTTTTAAATTTACATAATAAACTTTTCTTTTTACCGAGTATGAAGATGTTAAATGGCTCTAAATAAATATTCCTCCAATGTTTCTTTGACATAAAACTGCATATAAAAAAGGCTAACATACAAAAAAGTTAAAAAAGTGAATCCATAAATACAAGTTATTCTAATACTTTCATATGTAATACAGGTTGTTATGGAATTTTAATGAAAAAAATAACATACATGATGAAAAAAAAACACGTATAAGATCACAAAATTATAGAGGTTAACAAGAGAAAAATATATAATTT